AAAAAAAAAAAAAAAAAAAATGTGCTCTTAATCATACAAAATTACAACAAACCACACAAATTACATACAGTCAAATTCTCTCAACAATCACTTGAACTCCAAATTGTGGACGAACCATAAAAACCTTAACGGGCGAATGAACATACGTTGTTGAAAGTGCTATTCTATAACGCTGCAAAATCATGGAAATGACTATTTTGGCCTCAATTTTCGCAAAATCTAATCCAACGCAAATTCTTGGCCCGAACCCAAATGGCATAAAAGCCACCGGATTATTGTTAGTTGCCATAACAATCCCTTTTGCAAATCTCTCTGGTCTGAAAAGATGAGCATCTTCTCCCCATATTTTGTGGTCATGATGAAGGGCCAATGGTGAAATGTACAACTCCATTTGTCGTGGCAATTGTAAATTTCCAAGTTTCGTTTGTTTGTCGACCTTTCTTTTAATGGCCGGCACCGGTGGATAGAGTCTTAGTGATTCGTCTATAATCATGTTCGTCTGCACGGAAAAAAGGTAGGGAGAAAAAAAATATTTAGTTCAGTTTAATTTCTAATATGAAGAGTAGTCGACTAAATTTATAAACCAGACTTGTTATTTTTTTTCCTATTTCATCAATTTCAAAAAACTCATAAGTGATATTCTAATATTCGATTTAATGAGGATCAAGATTCTTACTATTTTAATGAGAATCAATATTCTTACTATTTTAGAGATCAAGATTCTTACTATTTTGTAGTTTAGTTTACTTTGTGATAAGAGGAGTAACCGACTAGACATATAAACTAGACTTTTTTTTTTTTTTTTTACTATTTAATCCATTTGGGACAAGGTGATATTCCAATATCTGGTTTAATGAGGATCAAGATTCTTACTATTTTAATGAGGATCAAGATTTTACTATTTTTTAATCCAGATTAATTTGTGATAAGAGGAGTAGCCGACCATACTTATAAACTAGACTCGTTTTTTTTCTATCTAATCTATTTGGTACAATTCACAATTGACATTCCAACTTTCTGTTTAATGAGAGATCAAGATTCTTACTATTTTGAGTCTTGTCATGCTCTTTGCATTAGGAACCATTTGTCCAAAAACCTCGATAATCTCTTGTCTCGCTTTCTCTTGCCATTCTTGATTCTGACATAGGAGCATTATTGTCCACGAAAGCAAAGACATCGTTGTTTCGTGCCCAGCAAAATAGAATGTCTTGCATTCATCGACTATGTCTTGTACGGACATCTTCAAGTTTTCTTCTAGAAGCTTCCCAAAAAAATCGCTTTTGATGTTTTCGTCCATTTCCCGTTTCGTAATAATCTGAACAATGCAGTCCCGGATGCCTTTCTCGAGCTTCTCGGATTCGAGATCATCGTTGCTCGGAAATAATCGACTGACAAAGGACCCATAAATTGCAAAAGCACCCGTAAAATTTTAGGTTAATTGCAAAAGGACCCGTAAATTTTAGCTTAACTTTCTTTGTTTTCCCCGAATAACGACGAACAACAGAGTACTTGTTAAGTACATTCAAGAATCAGGGGACTGCTTTGTGATTTCGAAAAAGAAAGAAAAAAAGATTGGACCTTTCCATAAATAAGCCAAATCCAGGGGTGATTTTTTCAGTTATTCTAAAAGCTTTTACCTGAATATTTAGCTTCTAGTAAGTGTTAAATCAAAGTACCTTAACAAAGGGAGCTTAATTTTGTGTGTGTTTCGAGATAAAATCAACGTTAACTTCATCAACTTGTCGAAGATAATCTCGCCTTCCGAATAGCTACTGCCAAACGCGGTCTTAGAAATGATATCGGACGTCAATATCCTGAACTCCTCAAACACTTCAATTTCTTTGCCTTCATAGTCCTTCCATTTTTCCAACATTGTATCCACACTTGAGATCATTGTCGGTATCATATTCTGCATTTTTTACAAAAACGACCCATAAAATTTGTCATAATTGAAAATACGCCCACGAGAGGGCATTGTTTGGAAACAAATATTGGAAACTTATGTAATATTAGTTGAATTTTCACTTAAGGCAATTATTGTTTGCAACTTCTCATCTTCGTCTCACTTTGAGACTTTCTCCATGAAAAGCATTATTTGCGAGTTTTCTCATTTTCGCCCATTTTTTGCCTTTCGATGACGAGAGCCCATCTCCAAGTAGCCGTTTGGCATGACCTTCAAGATCTATTTTTGGAAAGTTTCCATCTTTATCGTTTAGTATTTCCTTAACAAGCTCGAGCTCGGTGACTACTAATTGCGCTTGAGGGCCGTACCAATTCAAGAATTTCGCACCTACGTGAAAGAAAGTAAAGCGGTTAATTATAAATTCGAAACAATCAATAAAAAACCGAAACGTAGTGTTAATTACCATGTAAGTTTGCCCAATAGTGCACATGTGGCAAGATTCTCGGGTAAATATCGTGCGAAACGATGTCCATTGATTTTCCGGTAGTCTCTCGTGTCATGTTCGCGATTTCCCGTGTGTTTCCGAAAAGGAATCTGTAACGAGGGCCGGTGATTCCTTGTGATCTCATCAAATGTTGGCATCTTAATGGATCTAGCCATAATTTTTGTAGGTAGTGTAGCAGAGTTGACAGGGCACAAATGAATGAAAAGCTAATTACAAGGACTATTATGCAGGAGAAACAAGTCATAATAATATGATTTTGATCAAGTGAAAATTTGCTTAACATTTCAAGTAGAAATCAGCTTATATGAACCCTTTTTAGTTCACTATTTTGATTATTATTATGTCATTGTCTGAAAGCTATTATCTTGTCATTTACATTTTTATTATTGATTAAAATTAATTTAACCAATATTGTAAAAAAATTAGCAATAATTGTACTATAGAAACTACTCTTAATTAATTATGCATCATTCACTTAATCCAAACATCTCATTGTCTCAGCAGAACTATTACAATAAGGAGAAAAACTGTGTGGTCCATAAGCTTAATTATTAGATTAAAAATTTGGTAAAACAATTAGTGTAGCTCTTAAAAACTGATATGATTGTCTTTTAATAAAGAAAATCTTAACCATTGCTCTTACACTTCAAATACTTTTTAAGGGGCGGCGCGAACGCAGGCCCCCACGACCACAAATTATGACGTAAGCTCGACCACTTGGGCCAACCTCAGGCGAACGCCCCTCCCAAGTGCAATGGAGGTTGCCAACCTAGGCCATGGGCCTTCTTGATACTTGAGTCGGCTAATGAGCTTAAATATCTCCTCGGCTTCAACTTGCTGACAGATATCAGAATGTAAGGCTCGATCGGGATGAAAGGTCAGCAACGCTCGTTTGTACGCAGTTTGCACCTACACACACACATATAACAGAAAGAAAGAACAAATCAATGAATCAGTCCTTGTATTCCAACTTATTCATGAATCATGTGAGCATCACTAATAACTAAGTAACTAACCTGTTTCGGCAGGGGACTCGGCCAGCCAGCCACACGAACCCCCAACAAGTGCAACACTGAAGCCATATTTTCTCCTTCAAGTTTCTTAAGCTCTGTCCTTATTTCATCACCTATTTTCTCATTCAACTTCATATTTTCCTCATCCTATAACCAAAGCTTATTATTTTTTCGAGAACCAAAAAA